TATTTTATATGTACTGAAACCTGTGGGACACAAGTCAGCTGGAAAAGAAGAAACTCACACCCTCTCCTTCACCTCTTTGAACTCTCTGAAATTCAGAAGTAAATTTAATATACAGAATGTGGTGGACTGAGGATAGACTTATAATAAAAAGCCCAAGTACTTTTATTTATTGGACTTAAGGATCATAACACAACTGCCACTCATCTAAGGAAACCATCTATGGGCTGTTTTGACCATTTGATATGGACATAAGTTATGAACTAAGTTCCTTGAGGGCAAAACAAACAAAGAAAAAAGATTGTTCCATTTGTGAAAGTGGTGCCAAGAATATCACATCATCTCTCTCATATATCACACGTGGGTCACTCTGCTAAAGGATAAACTGTTATGTGACCTCTCTGGTAATAACCACTATCCCATAAAATAAAAGTGTGATACAGGCATTGAAATGTGACAGGAATTTAAAATGTTTCAAATATTTGCCCATATGAGATTTAGAGAATGAAATTGATTTCAGTTACTTTATTTCATATTGTGAAGTGTCTGGAATAATTGAATTGGAGCAAATAGCCAGATACAAGTTTTTGAACAGTTATCTAGCAGCTTTCATAATTTCTGCCACAAATTTAAAAAGAATTACTAGTTTACATTTTGGAGTCCTAACTAATAAAAAGAAATGCTTTGCCAACAGAGCTTTTGCTCACTGAGATGAACAAATGTGGACCCTGATGAAGGAAGAGACTAAGATTTATAAAATGCTTTCAATATATATTTGACAAAGAAACTAAAATAGAATAGAATTGAATACTTTGTTCCATCACAATCTCCATGAAAATAGCTTGTGTGCAAGCTCAAATAGAATACAAAAAGAATAATAAATAAAAAGTTGCTGAAAGTATTTCTTTATAAGATTCTTGAAGAAAAAAAAAACACAGGTAAATGCTATTTTTAAGGCATTTAATTCTGACAAGGAAAGTATGGAGAAGTTCTGAAAGTCAAGTATTATTTTCATAGTCTAGGACACTACAGGAAAAAAAAATTTCTTTTCCATCCTATCCAATCTTCCTGGAAGAAATTCCAGCAGCGGCCTGTAAAGTAAATGGAGTGTGGAAAACCAATTCACAAATTGCAGGCTTGGGAAAGAATAACACTGCTTAGAAAATGAAAGTCGATCAAGATTGGAAACATTTCACCTGTTTTCATTTAAATCTTCAATCTTTTTTCCTGCTGGTTTAGGAAACAGATACAACATAACGGGGCAGTAGGGAGTATGAATTCTAAATATTTCGAAATGGCCACATTTACATGCTCGATGCAATTTTCTGTGACTAAAAGAAAACTAGGCATTTGGGTAATCTCCCAGTTAAAACATGGTTTACGAAACTTATAACAGTTATTTTCTCCTATGTTTTTTATCTGCCTATTATGTAAGATTTACTTTAATCAATTAAGACAGAGCTTTTAAAAACTATCATGCAAGTTCAAAATGGAAAGTGAACTGAAATATTGCTAGACTAGTCCCCTGCTTTCAATTAAATGTGCACCCACCACATTTTAGAGAGATGAGCATTTACTACAATAATAAGAACCCCCCAAAAAGTTACTTGTTACTTTCACTTCTCATCCAATCCGTGTCAAAATGCTCCATGCTCATAAACTTATCCAAGCTAAGTCTTTCATTTAAATTCCAAACTGCCTTATGAACAGCCTGTGACAAGTCAAATAATTCTGACAAGTCAACACAACTGACATTGCTTTAAATTTAAGTTCAAAAGTTATCCAGAGTTTCTAAAAGAAGCAATTAGCTCCCTGCTACCAATTTTTTGAAATTATTATACTTAGAAGTATGATACAAAAATGTAAATGCTTTAAAAAAAGTAAATGCTTAAAACTTGAGAAATTTTGATACGTCAATTCTGTAGTTACTAAACTATTGGATTTATGCCCTACTGATACATACAATACTAGTAGAACATAACTTCATAACATTTTCAAAAAATATTATGTTTCCAATATTTCAACTGGGCATGTGATTACCACCAATGAACATATATACTAAATAATAGCTCCTGTACATTTATACTGAGCTAATGAGGTATAAGAATTTCCATTTTAAAAATTACCATTATCATCCCCATTTTACACATAAGAAATATGGTAGAGCAAACACTTGAATCCAGGCTTTCAAATTCAAAAACTTTTGCTTTTTACCTGTACAAAGGCGTATAGGGTGATTTTTTTACAGGAATGATGGATGAACTGTACTATCCATACTGTTATTGGACATTGTTACCTATTTATGACAAAGCTAATCTGAATTATGTGTTAGTCTGAGACTAGAGGGAATGGCCTAAGAACCCAGGTAAATAATAGGATTGAAAATTCCCAAACTACTTTTGTTAAAATATTGGAAATATTAAATCTATAATATTATACACTATGATTTCGAATATTGAAAACCACCAGTGATTTACCACTATGGATTTAACTCTTTCTCTGTCTCTGCATATGCCTCTGCCTATGACCTACTGCCATCCATACCAGTGACCCTTATTAGGCCAGTGATTCTCAAGGCGAAGAAAGAAATAACCTCCCTTCTATCAAGGGACCCACCATGAGGGGTAGAAATACACATGAAACTTCCCTGGGTGACTTTGAGAGTTTCCCCCTCCCTCTGGCAGTTATGTTCTCCCAATCCCAACCTTTAAAATCCTTGTTATATAGCAAAATAATAAATCACAACATTTATTGAGTGATTTATCTGAGCAAGGCACTATTCTATGTACTCAATCCTCACAACTAATTTATAAACTATATTAAGATTCCTATGTTATACATGAAGAAAGGAAGTCTCAGAAAATTGAAGGAGCTTACCCAAGGTTACACATCTAAAAAATGATAGAGCCTCACTTTAAACCTGGAAAATCTGATTCCAAAGACAGTACACTTAGTCAACACATTACATTACCTCTCATTAGTTGGCTGGAATAGTTATAAGAAAGTCACTGAATCAAATGCGGAAAACTCTTCAAAATGATACTGCAGTGACTCAACCAAAGTCTCAAGGAGGAAAATTATTTCATAAATATAGGAACAATCTAAAATGGATCTCGGTGTATAAAACTGAATTTTGGGCCTTAGGAACTCTCTTTCTCTTTTTCATTTGCTGATTTTTTTCCCACAATTTAAACCTTGCTCTAAATAACTGTATTAACTAGTCTGAATTGGTCCCAAATGCCAAAGTGCCACTGTTGTATAAATCACTTACTTCTACAGCATCCTTTTTAAAAATAATTTAATTTAAAAACCTGTTAATAAGACACATCCCTTAGTTGATTGTTCTAAAAACTTTTATAGGCTAAATATCATATAAATGAAAAATATGACTAAATTTAGTGACACAGATGAACCTCATAAATATAATATTTAGCAAAAGAGGCCAGATACAAAGAACATATATGTATGATTCAATTTATATAAAGTTCAAAAACAGGCAAACTGGTGTTAGCATTTAGAATGGTAATTCTTGGAATGGGGCACAAGGGTGTTTCCATCTCTGGTACTTTTCTGTCTCTTGATCTGACTGATGGTTATATAAATGTTTCATTTAGAGAAATTCATTGAGCTTTACACCTATATTTTGCATACTTTTACACTATGCATGTTAAATTTAAATAAAAAATTACACTAAAAGGCAATATACTTCATCCCAAGCTATCATCCTGCTATTGGTAATTTACCACTACTTTCTGTCTTGCAAAAGATACAAGTAATTTGTTTCATAAAAAAAGCAAACAAGGGGTGCCTGGGTGGCTCAGTCATTTAAGCATCCACCTTTGGCTCGGATCACGATTTTAGGGTTCTGGGGGTGCCTCATAGGGCTCCCTGCTCAGCGAGGAGTCTGCTTCCCTCTTTCTTTTTACCCCTCCCCCGACTTGTACTCTCTCTCTCTCAAATAAATAAAATCTTAAAAAAAAAGAAAGCAAACAGTATTTCCACATAACATTGCAAAGTTACTAATTTCCTAAATATGAGATGTTTTAAAAGTCAAATTTATCAATATAATTTATAGACAGTAAAATTCATCCTTTTTAATCTACTAAATCATAATATTTGAGAAGCACATACATTCATGTACCCATCACCACTGTTAAGATATAGAACAATTTCATTATCTCTCCAAATCCTCTCATGTCCATTGTCAGGCACCAGCAGCACTGCCCAATTTCCTGTCCATATAGCTTTGCCTTTTCCAGAATGCCATATAAATGGAATCATATGGTATGTATTCTTTTAAGTCTAGTTTCTTTCATTTAGCATAATGTATTTGAGATCCATCCATATTTTGCATATGTCATTAGTTTCTTTCCGTTGCTGAGTAGCATTACAATGTATGGATATATCACAATTAAAGAACATCTGAGTCATTTCCAGGTTTTCGTGATTTTGAATAAAGCCACTGTAAACATTCATGCATAGGTGTCTGTACGAATCTAAGTGAATACTTTGTTTTTTTAATTCCAATTTGTACTTTTACCTGCATAAAGTATTTTCTATATTGCCTTTAGTCTACAGTAATTCTGATGCCTAGAGAATAGACCAATCAGCTCAAAATAATATAAAATCAGAAAATGAATCAAATTAAACAAGAAACATTTTGCAAAAATATGTCAACTTTTACAAACTCCTCTTTTAAAAATATTTTTGCAAGAATCTACAAAATTAATTAAAAATACTCTAATCAAAATATTTGATTAATAAATCAAAATCCTATTTAAATTGTACAAGGTTAAAAATCAATGACACTACTAATTTGTATTCTAAATTTATAAGGAATAAAGAAAAAAGGTAAGGAATGTGGCTTGAAAAGTAGTGTTATACGCCTGTTTCATAACTTCCTAATTTAACATATTATAAATTTCACACAACTGGTTAGTTTTTCTATCCATGATAATTTGGAAAAGATTTGAGTGACAAAATGGAAACATGGTAGATGTTACCTAGCATGTTGTGGTAAAGTGGAATGGCCCGTCCAAGGATAATAAATGCAGTCATGACTAGTGGGACCGCTACACCTGCAGGCAATTACAGAACAGAAAACATCATTCTCCATTCACAGTGGCATGCACACACATGCACCAGTGCTCACACAAGGAGCCTTGGAGGAAGAACATGGGAAGCAAGCACACCAAGTACCTATCCATCAGGCCGATGCAGTCTTCAATACTTGAGCCTATGCACCTGCAGAAGATCCAAATTTTAAAAATACAAGGAAAAGAAAAATTAGTCATTTTTGGGAAAAGAATCAGTAAGATAAATACAATTGTTTCAAATTCTTAATTACAGTTTTTAGACAGTTTTGGGACACTATGAATTTAAAGCCAGTGAGAAGATTATTGCTTGCTGGATACAGAGAAATAAGTTGCAAATACTATCCTAGTGGAATGCAAAGAAACATGTCCACAGTAAAGGAAATTGTACCCTGTTTTTGTGGATTATTTCCAAATACATATAACTCACTTCTAATACTTTCAGTTCATTTGCATCATTCATGTGTACATGTCTTGCTGAATAACTTGATAGTTCAATGACCATAATTCGTTTTATGTATACAGTTTCTTCTAAAAGGACTTAAGCTTAAGTGAAAACTAAAATAAATAAAAAAAGAAACATGAGCTATTCAGTATAATATAATAACCTGATGCTTAATACTCATTAAAGATTGATTATGGCATAAAATGACTTAACATGCTTTAATGCTATTCTTATGGATACTTTACATAATCACATTATTCCATTCCTTGGTTGTAACTGTTTTTAAAACATACTTATCTGTAAACATGAATTCATTTAAAAAGCAAATTAACTGGTTTCACCATACTGCAGTTTATCTTGACACTCTTTTAAAAGAACAGTGCCATAACAGGCAAACAAAAATAGGTTTTTAAACTGCCATCATATTTAACTGAAACAATAACAAGTAAATAAATTCTCCCCAAGGAAATGATTACAGTGAGAACCAGGTAAGTAAATAATTCACTGAGATCAACATTTAAGTGAAATTATAGAAGTACAGAAAATCCTGACATACAGTCCCTAGAATTGCATTTTGAAGTATTATGGAAATATCATTTCTCCCATCTTCCAATGTACTTGAATTGTATTTCTTTCCCTTTTCTCTCATCAAATACGTATAGCTCCAGTACATTATCGAGAGTCCCTCTACAGCTATGATTTATAGAACTGTCTAATTCTGCTGATCCCAATTTTTCCCCAAACTCTAATTTCTAAAACTGAAAAAGCTGAAGTTAAAATCACTATATAATGACGTAATAAGGTGCTTGTGTATAGGGTAGACTGCCCATTATATCCTTTGCTAATTCTCAACATTGGTAAACTAATATAACTACGTATAATAATAATTAAATCACGGTCTCTTTGCCTCACCAATATCTGCTATAATATTACTAGGTAGAAGGTTGTTTTCTTTTTTGAGGATTGGTCTTGAGTAGGCCAGAAAAAAATTAGTGTTGAAAAATATGGGAAATACATCATGAAAAAGTCTTTTAAAGAAGTAAATAAATAAAAATATATATGTAGCACAGAGCATTGAAGTGCTATTATAATCCATAACCAAAACCATTTCTTAAAATGGAACAAATAACTACTAAAAATGTTCCCAATTTTTCTTATATTGTTTTCTTTTTATTTTATTCTAAAGAACTTAATTTTTTCTTGGTTCATATTCTATCTTCTTCAAAATGCCCTTTTATACAGTATTGCTATTTTGTAAAACTAATAGTCTACTTCTTATTTCCAAGTAGAAATAAGCTGAAAAGCTATGATTAGTTTGCAATCTGTGTCTTTATAATAACCATTGAAAGATAAAAAATATTTGAAAGTGAAATTCAACTTGAGGGGAAAGTGTGAATAATGAAGGATCTTTAGTCATCCATTAAAAAAAAAAAACTTTGCATGCCTACTAAGTGTTGCTACTCTTCTAGGAGCTGGAGGGGGGGAAAAGATGAATTAGACACTTTTCCTACTCTTAACGAGCTCACAATTTAATGATGGAGACAGATGCATAACCAGATGTATATTGTATAATGTGATAAATATAATAAGAGACAAAGAGTGGCTTAAGGGAGCACAGTGGAGGGACACTTAGCTTCAGAAATGCACAGTAATCCTCATGGAAAAGTCAGGAAGCTGAAGTTCATGGTGCTGAGAACCAGAATGAGAGTAGCACTGATTTCTAATAGATAAGGTACAACAGGAATTAAAGCATACATCTGAGGAAATGTCCAGTGCACATGAACAACTACAAATAATTCTGAATAGTCAGGGAGGAAACATGATGCAACAGGGAGAAGGAAAAGAAGCCAGATCATTAGACAGGAGCCAGAATTTGAAGGCTATTTGCTTAGAGGCAAACAATGGAGAACCACTGGAGGGTTTTAAAGAACTAATGGACTTGCTTGTTTGTGTTTAACATGGATCTCTGCCCTGTGAAGGCTGGTCAGCTGGGATCCAGGTAGATTCCTCTGGCACAGAGACTGTGTTAGTCTATGTAAGAGATGAAAAAGGATTAAACTTGGGAAATGGCAACTAGGATAGAGGCCTGGGGACAGATTCGAGAGATATATTGAATAGTATGGGGGCGGGGGGGGGAGAAGCTGATGGCTGATTTGACAGAGGGTTAAGGTCAGAGGAATTAAACATGAATCAAATGTCTGTCTGTGAGAACAATAGTGAGAGAATGAAAGAGGCAGGTCACCTTTCCTTGTGTGTGTGTAGGGGGAGGAGGGGTTGATCATTTCAGTTTTATGGATCTACAGTATGTATCTAGTGTGCTCATCCTACATCTAGGTAAGAAATGTTCCTCACTAGCTGGAAAGAGGGGCCTGTGGTAGTAGAGCATCAAAGTACCAGTATGATGATCAATTTTAAAAGAGCGTACAGGAGAAAGTTAAAATTGTTAAGTGGATAAGATTGTTGAGGAAACCTCCATAAAGTGAGGAAAGCAGAGCCTGAGACTGAAACCCAAGGAACTCCAATGACCAGTAAATGACCTAAAATGAGCTCATATACCAGATGCATGAGAAAATATAATTGAATAGAAACAAGTAATTGCAGCATCATGGGAGCCAAATCAGGAGGACCTTCAGGAAATGGGGTATTGTCAATGTCAAATGTAAAGAGAGATCTCATAAAATAAGAACTACTTAGTTGTCATTTTTGAGGTCACCAGAATTTCATTTGCTGTGAGGTGGTTGAGAAGCAAGTTGGACAAGAAGAGAACAGAGGCAAGAGAAAATGGAGGTGAGTACTAAGGGGGCAGGATGTCGGCTTGGGGAAGTTTGTTAAGGGGGTTGTGTAGGATAATTAAGATTTAAACATATTTATAAGCTGAACCTCAAAAGATGTAAGACAAAGAATAAGGATATGCCTGAAGTGGCCTCATGCTTTCTAAATACAAGTTGCTGTGTATTTAAAGATGTGTACTCTATTTCAACTCTTTGTACTTTAAGCAATGAATTAAGATATGCAATTCATATGGATCCAGCAAGATCATAGAATGACAGAAACATTAGTTTTGAAAAGTCAAAATCCCAATATGAGACAAAAAAGGATAAGGAATAATGCAACCCTCTGCAAAATTAGTGTTACAAAGTAAAGACTTTACAAGAAGAAAAAAAACTATAACATGTTAATATAACATTTTACAAAAATATCTGGAATTCTCAACTCTGAGATGTGTTAAAAATTGGCCTACTACTTACTGATTTATAAGCGCTTTGATGTACCCATATATCTAATGTAGTTGAGATATTTTGACAAAATCTCTTTCAAATTTTGAAATGCAAATGGAGGAATATTTTAAAATTTCAGTTAAAAGAGTATACACAAAAATTTCACTCTTCCATCAGTGAATAAATTTTCACTATATAAATTTAAAAATATAAAAAGAGTTGATAAAAAAGATTAAGGCATATAGGGAATTTAGTAATATGAAATCACAATTCTAATCAACAAAAATATTCAATGAAAGTTTTCAAAGATGCCTTATGAAAAATAAATATCCCAGTCCAAAATCAAAATTAAATTGGTATTTATCATTGGATTCAATGATGTTAGTGTATAAACCATGGTAAATGCCCTTATAGCAATTTAATTACCTACTAAATTTAATTCAGAAATCTTTAAAGAAATTTCTATCCTGCTAATTGCAAATATGAGGATCATTTCCAAGTTTTCAATGCTTGCTCATCATTTCACAAAATGGGGAAGGGTCTTCCATGCAAGATACAAACTGTAAGAGTGAAAAGTCACTGAAACATGACACACGAGTGGTCAAGAGCTGTGTCTTGGTCATTTCTGAACTTAGCTATCACTATATCTGATGCACAACAGGTATTCAAATTAAGCTGAAGAATGCATGAAATAAGAAAAGGCTGCTAAACATAAAAGTCAAGAAGAGACAATGATAACCACCCCCTCCAACCTCTTTAGGAATATTAATGAGCATCTCCTCATAGATACTAAATGGATAACCGATTTTAAAAGTATCTAAAGAACTTATTAGAGCCAATATATTTAATGTACTTTCAGAGTAATAAAAGTGCTTTTAAGGTATTACACACATAATTTTATTTTCAGAAAATCATTGAACAGTATTCAAAGTAAGAACTTTCCTTCTAAAAAAATGTGACTTGAGAGACTATTTCCATTAACTTGGTTCTTGAATTATCTAGCTGACATAATATCGACATATAAAAGAAAAGATGTTTTCCAAAGTGGAGTTGGCATGGTGAGCTCACACCCATAGGTCAATTAGTACATGTGTTTTGGAATAAAAATTGTCACTTGTTCCATCATCCCCATTGTCCTTGTGATCTTTGTAGGGAAAGATCCTATCTCTACATGCAATTTGAAGAGAAAGGCCTAACTGCACAGAGCACCTCATCGCTTCACTAAAGGATGTCAAGGCACAGTGGTGCACAGCAGCACTAAAGAGTGGGATTTAGGAATTCTGGGGTTGGGACCATAAAACTTTCATGAAGTAAGTGAACTTGGACAATATGGAAGATATTAAGAAAAGGATGGCAGGAGCCTAAATGAAAACAAATACAAAATCCTTCAGGACTAAATCAATAATTACAGAATCCATTTACCTTGGAAGATGCCAAGAAATACAACATTCAAATTCTGTCTCATTGTCATTCCTCAATAGCTGAGTTAAAGACATTTTTCTATTTACTTGGAGTTCCTAAATGATCTGGTTGGATTAGTTTCCTTTATACCTTCATCCTCCTTTTTAATTGATGTCTGGCTTTTGTTGCTGTGGTAAATTGATCTCTTCATTCTACTTCTACTTCTTCCCACCATATATGTGTTCTTTTATTACATAATCATGATTTAAAAGGGCTGAGAGGAAGACACACCAGCCACACACCCAGACTATGGCTCTGTGATCTCACTTTCATTTCCCTAATGGCTTCCTTGTAATTAGATTTGCAAAAATAGCAAAAGGTCTCATTTTGAATGGCAACAGCTGTTGACATCAACATTATATTGAATAATTTACTGGTTTAATTTTAGCTGCAAAACAATAAAACCCTCTTGTGGATGATTATTTTAGCAGGCAAAGTTTTCCCTTTCTGTTGCTGACTCTTCTGCTCCGGTGGTACCAGTTGTTTCTTCATGAAATACTCTTAACCCAAGTGTGCCAAAAACTCGCAAGGGGAGAAGTTTGTTCCTTCTAGTTTCCTTGAAGCGAGTGTCTATGTGACTATTTCAGTATCTTCAGTCTATGTGCTTATGTGGTGTAAACCAATGAGTTGGCATTAGCTCTTCCAAGCTGCATTTGAATTTGAATGCAGAATATTACTTTACCTTTTGAGGACCTGCTACTTCACAGAGGGACTTAAGCTGATTTCTTGACCTGCAGGAAATTGTGGCAGCATCTGCAAATTGATGTCCTCTTGGCAGAAAATGATGTCGCTTGCTTAACTTCTTCAATATCCCCTAACAGCTAGCTCTTAATCTGGCAGAAAATCTCTTGATGGAATCTCAGACTTTCCTGCCAGATGTAAAGTACCCGAGATGATTCTCAACAACAAGTGTATGTATCTGTACGTGGGAGCGTGCATATATGTGTGGGCGCTCATAATGGAGAAGAGGATTTATGGATAGAAGAAGGGTAGAGTATGCTAAATTGTTCTCAAGTTGAAATGCATCACCTTCTGGAGGAAAGAAAACAAAAAAGCCCTTACTGGAATAGACTTGCTGCTATCTTTTAAAAAATTCGGTGTTGGGATTTGTTAGATGAGTGACATTGTTTCTTTCAGTTCAGTGCTTTTCTTCTTTCTATAATATGCTTTTGTTTTTCAGTTGCCATCAGTTATCAAAGGTAATCTATTATTCATTGTATAATACATCCTCTTGAAACAATAGAAACTATGTACTGGTCGAAGAAATTCTAGGTTATAGGTTAACCTCTAATACACGTACTTTTACAAAATGTATTTGTGATTTTACTGATATACATATCACTAAATTCCCCCCAACCTTTTTTTTTGTTATCACTATTTTGCCTATATATTTTTTTGAAGGAGTAATCCAAGGCACTGTTCAGCAAAGAGAGCTATCCTTACCTTCAACTTTGTTGTAAGAACCAAGAAATATAAGCAGAAAACTTCGATTAAAGATTTATTAAGCACAAATCTCAAAAGTGTGATGACTATCTTGTCTTTTCTAAGATATCTTAAATATCGAGTAGCATTTGGAAGAATTTCTACACTCTGTACAAAGTATACCTGCCAACAGCTTCATAAAGGTGTCAATAGAAGACTTTTAGGCAAATGTTAAACAGAAATATCCGAGATGGTATACATTTGATTGCATAAACCATTTTCTTAAAAAGTCTTCCTCTTCAAATCAACAATTAATAGAGATGAATAGAGTTTTATATGAGAATATTATATATGTAGTAGACTGTGTCAAGGATAAAGATAGAGTCCTTGTGATAGAGTGACTTGTATGATAGAGTCCTTGGCCAGCAAGGATGCTTACCCTTGGGTGCAGTTTGGATGGCATGGATGGCACTCCCGATCCTGATCAGCATACTTGAAAATAAAACTGTTTGCCCCCTGTAAGCCATCTGGACATTTTTCCACACAGTTCGGGCCATCCTTAAAATGGGAGCACTTTGTGCAGTTGTCAGGTCCCTGAAGGATGAAAAACAAAACACAATAAAGGAAAATGGATGCTGTTCCCTCTGGTATTCATGTGGTCTAGTTACTGAGACTTCAGTCAGTGGCCAATCTTCCCCTAGGGAACTGGGGAGCATTTTCAGAACTATAAATGGGAATGTCACACTTTCAGCTTTTCAATGTACAAGTGAGTCGTAAACTTTCCTTTGGTTGTCTATGATTATTTGAACAACAAATTTTAAATTTTACTATGGTTGAATTATTAAGAATTAGTTTAGGCAAATAAAATTTAATATGTAGGTTATTCTCCATCTCAAATCAGCTTGTGATAATGCTAAAACTCACATGTCTATTTATAGAGATTTTAATAAATCACAGTACAATACTGAGAGCACAATAAAGACACATTCTGATGAGCAAATATCAAAAGCCCCACAATAATAAAGTAGGCGCATGCAAAATAAAATTATATGAAGAAACTTATCAAATAATAAAGGTGATATAAATATGAGCATAATAAACTGTTTTAAAAAATATTTTATTTATTCATGAGAGACACAGAGAGAGAGGCAGAGACAGAGGCAGAGGGAGAAGCAGGCTCCATGCAGGGAGCCCGACATGGGACTCGATCCCGAGACATGGGATCACACCCTGAGCTGAAGGCAGACGCTCAACTGCTGAGCCACCCAGGCACCTCATGAGTATAATAAACTTAAATAGAATTAACTCAGTTTGTGAATTTGGGAGTCAAGAACTAATATTGGACAGAGCTATGTATTAGGCAGGGAGCGTCTACTCACAAGAGTGCATTATATCTCTCTACAAATGTTAATTCAAAAGCCGTCAGACAATGCACGCTGGTGATACAAAACATCAGGAAATCAATAAATATAATATTTTTAAATTTAAAGATTGAGGTTGCTAATGAAGAACAGTGGTATAAAGAAGAAAAAGGAATCAGGAAGAGGTTTCAGGAAATTCTGGGACTGGTGAGGTTCAATCAAGCACCTGTCTATTTCACTATTTTGATGTAAGACTTAGAGCTAGAAGAAAATTATCCTATGAAACATAATCCCCATTCAACCTGAAGAGCTTGCTATTGGCAACTTCTTATTTCCTACCAAAAAAGAATACTTCACATGCTTCCAATTTTAACACCTGCTCATGGGTACTTAGGCACGTAATGCCATCTATTATACAAAATCATTTACTCTGCTAGTATGCTCAGTGGCATGACTTATTGTACAAGACAAGAGACATGCTGATGTCTTCTTGCAGAATGCAAGAATAAAACTATGAGTAAATTAGACAGTTAAAGTCAAAATTAGAGATTAGGACTTATTTTTCCATAAAATTCTCCTGACGTGAAATAATATCCAGGTAAAATCAGGAGACACGAAAAATATGAAGCTAAAATTAAAATCATATTTAACATTTACGTATACTTGAAAAAAAGATTTTTTTGTATATTTCCTTGTTTTCTGGGCATCTTTTACCTATTTGATTGTATTATCATGATATAAAACCTAATGTTCTAAGCTGACATAACTAAAATATGTCCTGACAAATCTCAAAAGAAATGAAATGTACTGATTCTCAAGCTCATTTCCATAATAAAGAGATTTTAGAAATATGTGTGTCTAATGCTTACTCTTCTATCATTATATTCCCAAAGCTTTTAAGAACCTAAGTTCAGCGAATGAACTGATTAATGCAATGATAAAAAACAGAGGTGAAGGCAATATTGTTCCTTATCTCTGATTTTAAACTACCTTTGGACTCAATTATGCACCCAGCAGACTAAAGGATAAGCTAAATCCTGATAGAAATATTACATTCTTTTTCTGCAGTGACAATTGATGATTTTCGCTGGTAACTACTCTAAGAAACAATGCTATTATTCACAAGTATCCAATTCTCTTCCACTTCTAGCCACTTGGAGGACTGAAATTCTCCTCCCACAAGAAGTGAGGTGTGTCTTGTTTGAGACAATGAAGTTAAGTAGAAGCGATTTATGAGACTGCCAGTGCTAAACTCTCCAGCCTTCTCTTTCCCTGCTGCCATGATGCAAAGATGCGATGAAGATGCAGATCCCATAAATGTGAAGCATCTCAGACGGAGCACTAGACCAGTAGGAGGAGGAGGGCTGCCTTGCAGGACACTTTACATGAAAAAAGATTTAAATGTTCCTTTTTTTTTGTATATGTTTTTATTGGAGTTCGATTTGCCAACATAAAGCATAACACCCAGTGCTCATCCCATCCAGTGCCACCCTCAGTGCCTGTCCCTATAGGCTACTGTAATATGGGGGTTATTTGTTATGGCAGCACAACCTTTATTAACTTTAACAACTACTTCAGCTTTTATCATTCTCCTTCTCTATCTCTTCTTTGTATGCTGCCTCTTTGGCTTATATTTTAATCTTCTAAAACTCTGATTTCCCTTTCTTTTCACATGCCCTTTCTTATCTTTCTTGATAGGAACACAAGAGTACAGGGAGTAAGGTGGAAAGGACAAAGTTATAGCAGCCATGTCCACAATAGCCAAACTGTGGAAGGAGCCTCGGTGTCCATCGAAAGATGAATGGATAAAGAAGCTGTGGTCTATGTATACAATGGAATATTCCTCAGCCATTAGAAACGACAAACAGCCACCATTTGCTTCGATGTGGATGGACCTGGAGGGTATTACGCTGAGTGAAATAAGTCAATCAGAGAAGGACAAACATTATATGGTCTCATTCATTTGGAGAATATAAAAAATAGTGAAAGAGAATAAAGGGAAAGGAGAGAAAATGAGTGGGAAATATCAGAAAGGGAGACAGAACATGAGAGACTCCTAACTCTGGGAAATGAACAAGGGGTGGTAGAAGGGGAGGTGGGCGGGGGGTGGGGAATGACTGGGTGATGGGCACTGAGGGGGGCTTGATGGGATGAGCACTGGGTGTTACGCTATATGTTGGCACATTGAACTCCAATAAAAAATTAAAAAAATAAAAATAAAAATGAAATGAAATACAACAAAAATAAAATAAATAAAATAAAATAAATAAAATAAATAAATACAATACAATACAATACAATAAATAAAATAAAATAAATAATAATAATAAAATAAAATAAAATAAAATAAAATACCAAGGGCAGACATGCAAGCATATAAAATCAGGGACTTGTTTTATTTCAAAGCTGGCTGTCTCAAGATTATCTGGGGTTTCTGTCACATTTAAATAGTGTAATATTATCCCATTTTATATACACCAGTTATAATCTCAGAAAACATATTATCCTTATTATATTACAGAATTTTGCCTGGGAGTGGGAGGAGTCACTTCTATATTTTGAGCTCCAGTCCCACATCATACAGATTGTTGACTTTTTGGTGCAACTTTCTAATTATTATAGGTTTGGTTTCTTTATATTTTAAATGGAAAAAAGTGATAGTATGCTTCAGATATAACAGTGTTTGACAAATATACATGCGTACCAATTATTATTATTAGGGAAATATGGACAGGCCAGGTAAGTGTGATTCCAACAGAATAAATCATAAGACCAGGTGTGGGAATTCCAACCAGCTTTATGACTTCAGTCTCATCACAATGTTGGCCTCACAAAGAAGACTCCAGAACTTCTTGGATATCTTAAATGATAGATGCCTGTTACCATGGCATAGGGAAGCACATCTGTCTGTAGTTGTGATAATCAATATGTGAACCCAGAAATGGCAAAAATCTAATATAAATTGTAAAAGCTGAAAGCAGGCCATCTCCTAGTAAGAACAGTTAGGGCTATTGTTTGAGCTCCTCAGTTCTGCCCATTTCTCAGACACCTGTCCTAAAATTGTGTTCTTACCTGCCTAGCATTTCAAGGCTTACTGATCAAGTAATCAAATAGGTTTTCTTGATTCTGTGCTCTGATCTTCCCCAAATAAGTGATTCAGGTTTACTAAACCTTTCCTATTTTTGATTTATTGCCTTTCCTATTCTCTATACATATTAATTGACAATGTTAACGGTTGGTGGTAAATTTGACTATATGGCCCCACGATGTTGTCATTTAAAAAATCAAAATGTGTTCTTCAAAAATCTGTTTTTTTCACTCTTTTTAGTGAGCAAATAATTTTGAAAATTGGGGAAGAACCATTAACTATTAGGGTCTTCTATGTGTGGTTTATAAACTGTCTCAATCTTTCGAGTAACAAAAGAATGAACAAATATACTACGAACACATATAAATTAAAATGAATTAACAAAAGATATTTACCAGCATAATTTTATACCATAGGAGGCAGCATGAGGAATAGAAAAAGCACAGGGCTGGTTTTTCAGCCTGCCTTGTTATTGTAATGGCACATTTCCAAAGACTCAGTTTCTTTGAAAGACATTTTTTTTTCATTCTTTGACTTTTGACTAAATAACATAACATATATGCCAATACTAACATATTGACTAAATATGTTAGTGTTTAAAGAAGTCTTATACAGATAGCTCAATCTGCGTTAACAACCTATTTCAGAACTTATACTTCCCCATGTTTCATGTCATTCTTTCCAGCATCCACATTTCTCATGCTGCGGATTAATTGTGTTTTCCATTAATATCCTTAGCGGGGACAGAAAATAGCCAAATATGCCCTTTGCATACTTACTTGGAGATCATTTACATATTAAATTATCTTTTTAGACTTTGGTTCTTCAGGCCAAATCACATTACTTCTTTTTCTCAGAGGTCTGAGTTTCCAAGCTTAATCATCCTGGTGGTAGTCCTCTGAACTGTCCAAGTTTTCCACATCCTTCTTTAGATGAAGTTCCAGAATGGCTCATTGGGGCCTATTGGAAGTTTGGAGGGCTCAATGATATTTTTTTTTCTAAGCTAATTAAGTGCTGAATAAGCACTCTGGTAGAAAAATTAGTATTGTTTTAATTGCATATAAACTCGTATGGAGCAATGTTGAGCTCTTGGCTACACCCATATGTCGGTCCCCAAATAATCTATTGAGAAATGACTCAATACACACACAAAAAAACCTGGAAATTTGTCTAAAGAAGGATGAATATGGCACTTTGGAATAACAAACTCATATTGACCTCATTATTAGGAGAACAGCTGAATAATGGGAACCAAAGGGAGATCTGAAAAAGAATTATCATCTACTCTATAAGGCAAACTTCAATCGTGTAAATACCAACATATATCCATCAAGACTTTCCTGATCCCATAGCCCCTCTTTCATTCTCATAGCTCTGTTTTTCTTTCTGCCATAGTATTTATCACACTGTTTTAGATTTTAGTTTATAAGTGTTTGCCCTCTCCCTTCTGTCTTTCACAATGTTCTTCATAATGACATAACAGTTAAATAATTAAACATATAAATGAATGTGTTATAGTTTACCCCAAATACACCATGAATTTTTACATTCACATATCTTTGTATGTTTCTTCTCTCCAGATTCTTCTTCAAAGCACAACTCAAACATCACTTCTCTACAGCCTTCCCAGATGCCCTACTTTCCATCCCAAAGACAGATTAATTTATCTCTTGTTTGTGTTCCTATAACAATTTATACATACATATATTTTACAATTATTTTGGTTCAATCTAGTTACTTATGTAGTTCTCCTTTCTTTTCAATACTGTGCAGTTTTCAAGGGCATATCCATATCCTCTTTTTAAATACATTATCTGAAATATAAATATTTCAGAAATTGAATTTGTAAAAATTTCATCTCTACTACCAAACAGTAAGCCTCCTGAGGGAGGAATATCAAACATGATTCCCTCTAGTAAGCTATAAACACCTGTTGAATGGATGGATAAACGATAAAGCAATGACATAACATTCACACATGAAGCTAAATAAGCCAATACAACCACAGATGTCTTCAAGCTTACCGGTCCATGGCAGGTGAGGATGCCATCTTCCATCTTCTCACACTGGGGGTCACACTCCACACAGATGGAGCCATTCTCAAACTCTCGAAATTCACTGTGAAAACATCAGCTACATGAGGTGGTATAAGCAAACAAGTTGTCAACTTAACAAATGAAGTAACATCTGCTAAAAGTCCTATTGGCAGAGTAAATTCTAGAGTCTGTTTCTCTATGTGCCAGAAGCATCAGAATCATTTCCCTGTACATTAAGGAATAAGTTCTCCATTAGGAGAAAAGATAAACTGCAGCCAGATGGCTCTCCTTGCCCTCCATTGGGTTCAACGATAGACTCATTCAGGAAACCTCTCTCTTGTGAGAGATATTCTAACATTCTAAAAAAAAAAAGAAAGAAAGAAAGAAAAAGAAAAAGAATGACTCTTTTGATGATAGAGCAGAATCATTTACCTTTTTTAAAGTAAAGCTGTGCCTGTTTGTCTCTATATAAAATTTTACTCTTCGCTGAGCTTTATTTTTTAAACTCTGAGAGAACTATTGTATTTTTCTTGTTGCTAAGTTACATGATATTCCCCATCCCTGTCCTTCAAATCCCAAGACTCTTCAATTTATTTTTGGTGAAACTTCAAAAAATGCTTTGATTTCATTTTTTCTTTTAAAATAACTGCCTTGGAGAATTAGAGAAAATATCTTTTTATGGCAGATTTTATATTCTTAGATTATTGATCTAATATCACAACATCTTTTCAGTTTAAAATCTTTTTGAAGTAATTCTATATGGTGCAAAATAAAAAAAAACAGTTTAATGATAACATTCTAAAACTTTCTAATTAAAATCTAGGATGATGGGATCCCTGGGTGGCACAGCTGTTTGGCGCCTGCCTTTGGCCCAGGGCGCGATCCTGGAGACCCGGGATTGAATCCCACATCGGGCTCCCGGTGCATGGAGCCTGCTTCTCCCTCTGCCTGTGTCTCTGCCTCTCTCTCTCTCTCTCTCTCTCTCTCTCTGAGTATCATAAATAAATAAAAATTTAAAAAAATCTAGGATGATGGTTACCCCTTCCCACAACCTTACATTTTGTAGCTATTTAAATATTAAATGTTATCAATAATAAGCCTTCCAATCAATATCTACTGTCAAGTTTTCATTTCAATATTTGGATATCATTCATGTATAATATGTTAAATATCCCATTCCTACTAATGTTTCAGAGGATGAAGCACTGGATAAAGACAATTCAGAATGCCAGTTATAAGTCATTAACAAAACCTGACTATTTATAGTTTCTGCATTATTTTGTGTCTGTATATCATGAGCTGTCATTCCAAGCTAAAAGTATTGTAAATATGGCAGTTATGGATTAATTAGGTGATAAATTTAAATTTATTTTTCCCTAAAATAAAGTGTTCACTTATTTTCATAATGAACTATCTCATTTGGTTACTGTAAAGCCTTAATAAATGATAGAAGTTTAAAAGGTGGGCTATCTTTTCTGTTGGCTAAATTAAAACTACACATACTTTAAAGCAAAATAATTAAGTTAAATTGATGGTTTGGTTATGTATCAATGCACATATTTAGTTACATGGATTTTGCATTTTTAAACTGAGAACTGAGGTGTTGGTTTGCTATGGATTAAGCTTCTTCTTTGTGTTTTTTTTTTTTTTGGATTAAGCTTCTTACAAATTTCCTTAAATTTAAAATCTCAATTACATAGAAATATTTTCTTCTGCATGTTTCATCAACATGAATTATATAAAGCACTTGACAGAGGAAATCTTCAGAATAAAAACGTCAAAACGACCCGGTATGGGGGTAGGGGGGATGGTTGGTCAATTGTGAAAATAATCAAAAGTATCAGTAAAATGAAATTATAAAACAGTTACAGCAAAACCTGCAATCGTTAGTAAATTCCTTTTTTTAGTACAGTTTCTTGGATTGCTAAAGGGTTATGTTACTGAATGAAGGTCATAATTTTTGTGATACTAAAACACTGGCATGCTTTTTAAAAATTTTTTTCTCTTCTTGAAAACCACTCTCCACACACAGAGTTGACAAAGTGAATATAACCGAAAAAGTCATGGAGAACAACCTAGCTGCCTTTGTTTCTATAGACTTCTGTTTGCATGGCTTTGGGTTCTCTTCCTTTCTGCTCTCAGAACAGAATCTTCTTATAATTTTCATTACCTTTTCTCCTCTTCATTGTCACTGTCTCCATCATTGCTTTTTCTTCTCTGCTTCCAATTCATTATACAGTGATTTTGCCAGAGATACCCTTCACTTGAATCTAACCTAACAAATCACTGTCTATTGAGCTGAATTTTGCATACTGAAGTTTTTGTCACTTTTTTTACTACTCTACATTTCTCACAGTCTTGCTGTGTGCTACCTTAGCCAATCCTGTGATCCAGAGCAAATGCTTTGGAGTCAAGTTCTTCCCAAATGTGGCTGGTGTTGCCAATGCCAACACTAATACTTCTAGGCCTTAAATCCCTTAACATCTCTAGACTTCACTTTGTAAATATTCTCTGTGAAAGGGAAAAAAAGTGTTTCAATGAGAGGTTGTGATTTTTAAATATAAAAATGCCCACAAAGAGCTTAGACTGGCACTCTTTCTGATGTTTCCATGTTGTTAACATTTTAAAAGCATTTGACCATGTTGCCAGTTAAGAACAATTTTAAGATTGCATGGCAATGAGTTTTCTCTTTCATTTTAAATGCTTGCACACTGTAGTTAAGAGTTGCTGAAATACAGTAACTTCTATGATCTGGATTTGAATGCTAACAGCCAGGAATTAACTGATTTTCTTTTTGCCTTCAGAACCTCCTCTTTGAGGATTTCTTCTTATATAAAAATTATATAAATGTCGGTCCCCTGATTTTGGTAAATGTCCTATTTGTTATTTGTTTTCAGGAGCTTTAAGTTGACTAACCATCTAATCAGCTTAGATTAATAGACACAAAAAGAAAATGATGATAATCTCCTTAGTAGTAAAAATTCTAGCAACACTTAATTATGCATTTTCTCATTTATTAATCATAATTATCCTATGAAGTTGACACTATTATTATTCCCATTTTCCATATAAGAAAACTAAGTTTAGAACAGTTAGGTTATTTATCAAAGATTGAAAACGAGGAAATAAAAAAGAAAAAAAAAAGAAAACGAGGAAATGATGAAGTTAGGATTTGAATTCATTATTCCTCAAAGGCTGTTTTAACTACCAGGCAATGTTGGAAGAAATTAGTCAGTACCACAAGATTGGAGGTGGAAAAATCTATCACTGCATAGGCTAGAATTATGTCAGACTTTTACAAGGTAATTTCATTTATTATCCTTCAAAGTAGCCCATACAAATGATTTCCTAGAGACCTATTCCTGTTGCAAAATACATTAAAAACATATATTTCTTTAATACTTTTGACGTAATGACTTAGAAAATGTTAAACTTTCAAAACGGTCTAGTAATCAGTGTTGTTTATTTAGAAAACAGGTATTTTTCCTTTTCTTGGCTTTCATTATTTTGTGGACATGAGACAAAAGATGGTATATGCATCCACATATTCATCCATTTCATATTTCTGACAAGGTTAAAACTGAAATATTAAGGGGGAAAAATGTCATCTGGAAAAGAAACAGGATGGAACTCACATGCCCTAAATTCTAGGGCTGACTTGATTGTTCGACAATAGAATGACACTGGTCAACACTTAATTCTATCAATTTTCTTTTTGTTTTTTTTTCAGATTTTATTTATTTATTCATGAGAAACACAGTGAGAGGCAGAGACACAGGCAGACAGAGAAGCAGGCTCCATGCAGGGAGCCTGACGTGTGACTCGATCCCAGGTCTCCAGGATCATGCCCTGGGCTAAAGGCAGGCACTAAACTGCTGAGCCACCAAGGGATCCCCAATTCTATCAATTTTCACTGTTTATAAGATGTTGCTGTTAGGGGCACCTGGGTAGTTCAGTCAGTTAAGCATCTTAAAAAAAAAAAAAAAGGATGTTGATGTTAGAGAAGACGATTTCCGGAGCTCAATTCCTCTCTAGAACTGCATATATTGTTCAATGAATTCATAATGTAACATTCACTAAATAATATTAAAGTCTATTAATTAAATTTTAACAGCATCAGTGGCTTTAGAACAAATAATCATATTTTGATCTGAAGTATTTTACATACAGATGGAAAAAAATGTAATAGTTATGCAGTAATTCCAGATGAAAACATTCATTTATAATGAGAATAAACATGACTACAATTTAATGAGAAAAGCAATACATAATTTGCTATCCATTATCAAATTTATGAGTTGATTGTACCTTACAAAATTGTAAGCTGAAAATTTCCTGAAAAACAATTAAATTCTTATTTTGAAAAGTTTCATACTTAAACTTCTCATTTTATTTTTTCCCCTAAATTTCATGAAGGGAACTGGTTTTGGTCATCTTTCAAAGAAGAGACATATTATTATATTATTATTATAAACTGTAGATTTCTATCTTTCTGATATAAATTGCAAAAGTACAATGTTATCTCAGATCATGAAATGTTGACTAAAATTGAGGACAATTCTATTATCATTGTAATGAAATTGCAATTCATGGTTTGATTTCAGAACAAGTATATTCCTAGTATATTAACCATTTACAGGTCATTTAAATAATAAACTATTGAATCATTAATGACATGCAGAATTCTAAAACTATAAGGATTTGAACCAGAAAAAAAATACAATAAAATGAGACAATTCATGAGGCAAAAGAAGAAATGAGATAATTTCAAAACTATACTTTTACCAACCTGTTGAAAATCCTTTCAGTGAGCATCATATGAAAATTTGACTTGAGAACAGTACTAAAAAATGTATTATCAGACTAATAGAGGACAACTGTGATGCATGAAATGGTATGTTATGATAAACTGGTTTTATGAGTATGTGAAATGCCATGTAACAAGAAATACACTAGGTTTATTGTTGGCAATGTGATTATTATTGCATCACAAGGAATTTGAAATTCTTTTTTTAATAAATGTATTTTTATTGGTGTTCAGTTTGCCAACATATAGACTAACACCCAGTGCTCATCCCGTCAAGTGCCCACCTCAGTGCCCATCACCCAGTCATCTCCACCCCCCGTCCACCTCCCCTTCCACCACCCCTAGTTCGTTTCCCAGAGTTAGGAGTCTCTCATGTTCTGTCTCCCATTCTGATATTTCCCACTCATTTTTTTTTATTTAAAATACTGCTTAGGTTATCTTTAGAAAGTGGTAGACTGCTTTCAAACACCTCTCCAAGTAGAAACTACCAAGGCAATTTTTCTATAGGGCTAAGCAATTGTCAGAGAGATTGAAATGTATATCGTGCTTTCTAATATACAAATAGACCCATAACTTGGATGGAAAAAAATGTAATAGTCATGCAGTAATTCCAGATGAAAATTAATAGGAAAGCATGTGAAAGAACTATTATTGGGAGATATGAGAGGAAAGATTACTTGTAACAATCTTCTTCATAAGGAAAATAAGAATATATTTTTCAATTTTGCTTCACTATAAATTGATACAATTTATTAAGAACGATCTATTTCAGTCTACTTTTTATAAGTTTGCATAATAGTCAATACATATTTGGACTAGTCTTATTTCAAATAAAATTCTTTCCCCTTAAAATAATTCTTCAGGTGTTTTCGCAACAAGAGCTCCCCTTAAAAACATCAGCCAGCACACACATTCTGCAATTTCACCAATTTCTGAAATTCAGATAATTTCATTTTCTTATCATTTAAAAATCTGAACCAACCAGTGCCTCAAAGCTCATGAGGTAAAGGTGATGTTGTAAGATAACCTTACCCGTCATAGAGGTTACAAGACTCTATGCAGCTCCTTCCTCTGCTGAAGCGACGGCAGGACAGGCACTGATCGGGGCCAGGTCCCCAGCAGCCATCGCTTGAACACAGATGGTTGCACACCATTCCTTCAGCAGCTGGAAAACACACCAAATTCAAGGGTGAAATAAAACAGAAGGCTTTGTTAAGACTTAACCTTTTACTATGAATTTTCCAAAGTTATGCTATTTCTGAAGAAGTTGGTTTGAAAGAGATCTGTGGCAGAAAGCTTTGCTTACTCAGTCACCATGGCCCACACTACTGTCAACTTCTTCTATATTGCAGAGCCCCTATCAGTGTGTGTATACAGAACTGCTACATTTTCATAAGAATGTACACATGTCAATTGTCTACATCAAAATTCTAAGGAGGAAGAGTGATAGAAATTAACCCTCCCTTTAAGGCAAGAAGCAAACCACACCTTTCTCAATCCAGCCCTTTGCTCCACTGAGACACCACAAATTTTAACTTCAATTCCGTATGAGAGTTTCATGAAGAAATTAAACAAATAGTCCTTGTCTTAAACAAAATTTTAAAAAAGAGAAAGAAAAAGAAGAATGTCTGAAAGGTCGGAGGTGAGGAGAGAAATGGAATTAAAATACAAGTTTTTTTATAGGCCTCTGCTTGCCTTGATATTTAGTCAAATTAGCACATGTAAGGAAAAGGTTTTGCAAATATATGAAACAAATTGTAGTCACTGATGAGAAACTATAGAGATTAAAGTAATAATACTGAGTTTTAGCCTTGTCTCTATATATTTGTTGATGGGAGGGATGCCAAAGAATTTTGGGACGGTTAAAATTGCGAGTTAGATTCATCGTCTGTTTCCTTTTATATTGAGTAACATTTATTCAGTATATTATTATTTATATGGAATAACATGATTTTAGTAAAAGGATACGAGATGTTGATTAAGGTCCTATTAAGACTTTAAATGTTATTCTGAGTGTCAAAAGTGATTTGAGTCATCTGAAACACGATTTTATGTGGTTTTCATAAATTATTAAGAATCTCCAAGAAGATTAAAAAAAACATCAAAAATCGTCTTTATCTTCACATGAGTTACCAAGTTTAATTACTATGGGATGTAAGTTGTCATGACGAGCATTTGTGAGATGGGTTGGGATATCACTGAATATGTGAGTATAATGTAAGCAGGGAACACATCTGTGGAAGTTACCCTCTTTAACGTATGCTTGAGAAAGTGAATTGCCAGCATCCATGATGCTGACAACTTATAAAACAGTGAAACAAAATCATCCAATTCATGTATCCTGTCTCATATCCTGCAGCCTTAAGGAGGCCCTTAGGCCAAGCTGTGAAAAATTTTTTCTCAAGGCAGAGTTAGACCTACTAAGTCTTTTTACTTCATAACTGCTTAATTGAATAACCTCTTCCAACATAAGAGAGAAGCTGTGTGTGTGTTTAGCAGTTTTATTGAGGCATACATGACATATAACATATTGCTCATACATAAAGTGTACAATCAGATGTTTTGACATATGCATGCAGTTGTGAATCATGAACACAATTAGAGTAATGAATGTATCCATCAATTCCAAGAGATCTCATGACCTTCTGTAATCTCTTCTTCCTGCCCCATCCCTCTCAGATAACCACTGGTCGGTCTGTTGTTAATATATATTAGTTTGCACTTCTTAAAATTGTATACAAATAGAAACATATAGGATGTGCTCTCTCTTTATATAGTCTCTTTCACTTTGCATAATTATTCTGAGATTCATCTGTGTTGCTGTACAAATGTCCATTCATTTTTATTACTAAATATATTTCCTTGTAAGGATATGCAACATTTTTAATTTATTTTATTTTATTTTTTAAAGATTTTATTTATCAATTTATGAGAGACACAGAGAAAGAGAGAGAGAGAGAGAGTAAGGCAGAGACACAGGCAGAGGGAGAAGCAGGCTCCATGCAGGGAGCCCGATGTGGGACTTGATCCTGGGACTCCAGGATCATGCCCTGGGCTGAAGGCAGGCGCTAAACCATTGAGCCACCCAGGGATCCCTGCAACATTTTTTAAACCAGTCACTTATTGCTACACATTTAGACTGTTTTCCACTTTGTGCTATTAAAATTAAGCTACCATAGGGGTGCCTGGGTGTCTCAGTCAGTTTGGTGTCTGATTCTTGATTTCAGCTCTGGTCATGATCTCAGGGTCGTAAGATCGAGCCCCGCATCAGGCTCTGCTCTCTGAGTGTGGAGCCTGTTTAAGATTCTCTCTCTTTCTCTCCCTCTGCCTCTCCCCACCCAGCTCTCATGCACACTCTCTCCCTCTAAAATAAAATAAAATAAATAAAATAAAATAAAATAAAAAACTAGAAACATCCATGCACAAGTCTTCATAAAGTCATATTTTCATTTCCTTTTAGTAAACACCTAAGACTAAAATGACTTGATAATATAGTAAGTATAGGATAAACTTTTCAAAAAATGGTCAAATTGTTTCTCAAAGTAGTTGTACCATTTTACATTCCAGTAGTAATGAACTCAAGAATTAAGTTTCCCCTCATTTTTGCAAATTCTTGATATGGTCAGTCTGTTTAATTCCTAGTAGACACATGTAGACATGTTAAAAATATTTGTTCTTCCAATCTATGATCATGGAATGCTTTTCTACTTATTTGTAGTCTCCTCAATTTCTTTCATAAGTGTTCTATAGTTTTCAGAGTACAGATCCTTCACCAAAAGGTTAGGTTTATTTCTAGGTATCTTATGGGTTTTGGTGTAATTGTAAGTGGGATAAATTTCCTGATTTCTCTTTTTTCCATCTTATTATATTGTTAGTGTATAGAAATGCAAGTGACTTTTGTGCATTGATTTTATATTTTGCCACTTTGCTAAATTCCTATACCAGTTCTAGCAATTTTTTTTTTTGCAGGATTCTTTTGGGTTTTCTACAGAGTATCATGTCATCTGCAAAGAGTGAAAGTTTGACATCTTCTTTGCCAATTTGGATGCTTTTTTTTTTCTTTCTTTCTTTTTATTGCCTGACTGCTAAGACTAGGATTTCCAGTACTGTGTTGAACAACAGTGGCAAGAGTGACATCACTGTAATATTCTGACCTTAGGGGAAACCTCACAGTTTTTCCCCATTGAAAGTGCTCTCTTTCTAGCTCCTTTAGGTGTAAGGGTAGGTTGTATATTTGAGACTTTTCTGATTTCTTGAGGAAGACCTGTATTACCATATACTTCCCTCTTAGGACCACTTTTTCTGTATCCCAAAGTTTCTGAACTGCCCTGCTTTCATTTTCATTTGCTTCCTTGTATTTTTTTTTCTAATTCTAGTTCTCTTACTATTTCTATCACATTTGTAATTCCTTTCTCCACTGAAGTCCTGAACCCTTCAAAATCATCCATGAAGTTGGAATCAACTACTTCCAAACTCCTTTAACATTGATATTTTGACCTTTTCCCATGAATCACAAATGTTCTTAGTGCCAGCTAGGATGATGAATCCTTTCCAGAAGGTTTTCAATATATCTTGCCTCATCCATCAGAAGACTCACTGTCTATGGCAACTGTAGCCTTACGACATGTATTTCTTAAATAATAAGACTTAAGAATCAAGATGGGCTTCTTGAACCACAGGCTGCAGAATGGATATTGTATAAGAAAGCATAAAAACAACAATAATCTCATATACCTCCATCGGAACTCTTGGGTGACCAGGTGAATTATCAATGAATAGCAATATTTTGAAAGGCATCTTAATTTTTCAGTAGTAAGTATCAATAGTTGGCCTAAAATATCCAGTAAACCATGTTGTAAACAGATGTGTTGTCATCCAGGCTTTGTTGTTCCATTTAGAGAGCACCAATGGAATAAAGTTACCATAATTTTTTTGGCTCCTTCGATTTTCAAAATGATCAACGAACAAAAGCTTTAACTTTAAGCCACCAGCTGTGTTAGCCCAAACAAGAGAGTCAAGCTGTCCTTTGAAATTCTGAAGCTACACATTGACTTCTCCTCTCTAGCTATGAAATCCTAGATGGCATTTTTCCCCCAACATAAGACCGCTTCACCTACATTGAAAATCTATTATTTGGTGTTTTAATTTTTAGATAACTATAAATTCATGTAGAGTTGTAAGTAATAATACAGAGAGATCCATGTTCTCTTTACCCAATTTCCCCTAACGGTAAGATTTTGCAGAACTGTATAGTTCAGTAACACAAACAGAATATTTTTTTAAGATTTTATTTATTTATTCATGAGAGACACACACACACAGAGGCAGAGACACAGGCAGAGGGAGAAGGAGGCTTCATGCAGGGAACCTGACCTGGAATTAGATCCCAGGTCTCTAGGATCATGCCCTGGGCCAAAGGTGGCACTAAACCACTGAGCCACCCAGGCTGCCCCAGAATATTGACATTGATACAGTCAAATTACAGAAGATTTCCATCACACAAGAGTCCCTACTGTTGCACTATACAGATGCTATAAACATTTGTTTACAGGTTTTGTGTAAATATAAATTTACATTTGTATGGAATAACTGTTCAGGGGTATAATTGCTGAGTCATACGACAGGGGCATTTTAATTAATATGTGTTGTTGCTTTTGAGAATGTGCTAAGTAAGCTTTGTTCTGGAGTGATTAAGCTGTTTTATATTCTCACCAGGAACACATGAATTGTCTCATATTTCTGTATCTTCTCTAGCATTTGGTTTTGTCATTTTTTAAATTCTAACCATTCTGATAGATGTATACTGATATCTCATGATGGATTTAAATTTTCATAACATGTATAATAACTGACATATGCATTTATTTTTAATTTTTTAAAAGATTTTATTTTTTGACAGAGAGACCATGGGGGCAGGGCAGAGAATCTCAAGCAGACTCTGACCTTGAACTTTCTTTCTTATTTTTTCATAATGTAGAGAAAGAGGGTTCTCTCATGGTACAAAAGAAATGTCAGTTGAAATGAAATCTTAACATAGGTTTTATTTCACTCATTCCCTAGATGTATATGTAACTTTCAATAACTTATAAAGATGTAAGGAGTAAAAAACAGTAGTTCAATTAGGCTAACTGAACACAAATGTAAGATAAATTCTATTTAATATAT